AGGAATGGAAGAGGTCATTGGTTTTTATATTCTCTTTCCATGAAGACAACTTCTGTTTGTAAGGTCATCTGCTGCCTTTTACGGGAGGCATGTATATGAAATTCTCATGTTCTTTATTTTCTGACCAAACCATGTGTTTTGTGAGTATATTTTACGTATACACACATACACTGAGCATATTATTTTGTCTTTGTGAAATCTATGTTGCTTAGGATGTAGATAATACTGATAGAAGTTACCCAGTCACAATCAATTTTTCCCTACTTCTTAAGATACCCTATTGGTTTTACATATTAGCTTTTTAGAATTATGTCACACAGTCAGTGGGCACTCACAAAATGTTATCTGTTTGTTTGCTCAAGTTCAATTCTGGATCAGTGTAATTTTGCAGACTTCTTTTCTCTAACTCTTCTTGGTCATTTTTCACTAATAATGTATTTGACAGAGATTGGATCAAGAAAGAAAGAACATTTCAGCTAACTAGTACTACATAATTGCACAACCTTTGTTAGAAAATTAACTGTGAAAGACAATGGTAACAGGTCTTCCATTGTGTATTTGGGGAATGTTGTCCTAGGTTACTTTTGCTAGGAGTCATAGACTGTATTCTATGGAAACTAGACCCTCAGTCAAGGAGTACCAACTTGAAAGAATTTATTAAGGTCCTCCTATTTGGTTCTAGGAAATAGGCTGAGTTCAGAGGTCTCACATAAGAATAAAATGGAATCTTCGCCAAATCAAGCATATCTTCTACTCTACTAGGTCCCTGAAGAAATCCACCTGGGAATCAGCAGGTCACATGGTTAAGGCACTGGATGCCTACGTGGCCTTCTGTAGTTTAGTCCTGGAACCAGTGGCTTGAAATCACACTGGGCACATGTGCATGCATGCCCAAAATCCTGAGAAGAGAGCGGAGGAGAAGGGATTGCAGCATGGCCATCTCCCCTGGTGGATGATTTCTCACTTTCCCTCTCTTCATCTTTCTCTGGTGAGAGCATGTACCCTATGGCAAAAACCTAAAAGAAGAAAAATCTATCGGTTTGTCCAATATATTTACTCCTTGTCTGCTGTTTTTCTTACCCTGTATTCTTTTTTTTCCTTTGTTCAGAGAGGTTTTTGCTATAGGGCACATGCGCTCACCAGACAGAGAGAGAAAGAGAGACAGAGAGACAGAAAGCGAGAAATACCCCCCCCCCCCAGAGGGGATGGCCATGCTGCAAGCCCTTCTCCTCCATTCTCCTCTCGGGATCTTGGGCACGCATGCACACGCGCCCGGCATGAGTTTAAGCCACCGGGTCCGGGACTTGAACCACGGTCGACTACATGGGAGTCCAGTGACATAGCCATTATGCTAACTGCAGGTCCCTTCCCCTGTATTCTTGAAAGTGTGTGTGTGTGAGAGAGAGAGAGATCAACACCCTCCACAGTGTCTTGTCACACTGTGGTTATCTTCCTCCAGTCCTCCAGCTTGTGAGATCCTGGTCAATCATACATGTGCCCGACATGTTTAAGGCTGACTGGGCCAGTTTCCAGTCACAGTTGCTGTATGGGATCTGGCTTCCCTTGAACAGTGCATTACCCTACAGCTAGGCCTCCTCCCTGCTTTCTTAAGTACTAAAGTTTCTATTGGGGAGCCAGAGAAAAATATGTCTCAGTCATTAAAAAGCTCAAATATCATATTGAACAAAAATAACACCTATCTTTTTTTAAGAGATTTTTGCCATAGGATGCCTGCACTCACCAGAGAGACAGAGAGAGATAGAAAGAGAGAAATCCCCTCCCAGAGGGATGGCCATGCCACAATCCCTTCTCCTTCAGTCTCCTCTCAGGATTTTGGGTACCCAGGCACATGCACCTGGTGTGAGTTTTAAACCACTAGATCCAGGACTCAAACCTTGGTCAACTACATGGGAGTCCAGCAACGTAACCACTATGCCATCTGCTGATAACCAAGACACCTATTCTGATCTATTCCAATGTGTCCGAGACAAAGTCACTTTACATTTTTTCATTAAACTGAGATAGTGTCCAAGATAACAACAGATGAAACTATCTCTTGGCAAGATTGACGATGCATCTGTCTTAAATATTAAGTGATCTTGGTTTCTAATAGATGAAGCAAAAATAATAGCACATTGATAAAATCAGAACTCAATTTGAATTAAATTTTCAAATTTACACCAAGTAATTGAAACTTGAGGACTTATCTTTGGTAGATATACATGCAACTTCTTAAGCACCAAAACAAAAATCAATCCAAAATTATCATACTGGGATCTGACAAATATAGAGCATATATACATAAATATGTACAAGAACATATGTGAAATGCTTTGAAATATGTTTGCATTTGGTCTTTAAATTAATCTTGAAAGATGCACTTTTAACTTTTTATATTTTAAAACATAGGTTTAAGAGAACTTAGATGAGTTGCCCACAATCACAAATTATATAAACAGAGTTAGGAATTAACCTCAAGCATGACTCCATAGACTTGTAACTGTTTTCCTGCCTCAGTAAATTGGCCAGCCTTAAAACTGACTAACCTTCAGGACAAATTCTGAGTCAATGTTAAAATTTTTAATGATGGGACTGTCATGACCTCTCTCAGTGAATGTATAGATTATTGTTTATGTCAAATCAAGAAAACCTTTTGTAAAACCTCAAGACATAAATATCTTTTAAAGCCCTTGGTCATCCACTGCTATTTCTTAATAGAAATTCCATTTTTGTGATTTTTTGATGGCTACACATTTATCTCACTTGAAAGTTTCAGATGGAATCAAGATATATCTATACCTATAGGGTGAGCTGAAAGAACTATTAAAAGAAGTTGAGTTGGATTATTTTTAGTGATGAATTCTTTTCATACTGAGAGGTTGCTCTAAGTATTTTGTAGATTCTGCTGAAGATGCACATATGCCAGAATCTATTAGGGCATTAGCAAACCAACTTCTGGATTTATACTACATTTTTTTATAGCATGAATAAAGAATGTGTGCTTTAGGGGATATTATATGAACTTTATTTTCAATAGTTACACTTTGAAAGTTAAGAGTACAGAACTTTTAATTGTATATCCCAAGTGTGATGTTGTTATATCACACATACCAATTGCTGATCACACTTGTCAATTTCTTGGTATGAAGTTTAAATTAGATAAAAATTTTAATATATCTAGGGGGATTCTTATCATTTCAATGACATATAAAAATTCCCTAGTGGGTCAGTCTTTTCCTAATCAAATGTAAAATTGTGCTGGCTCAGAGTCTCCTGAATTACTTGGTTTGGATAGCATGGACTTCTGTTGGCTTGGTTTTTGTTTTCATTCAGCAAATAATGTATTGAGGCCTGATAACTCGTATTGCTGAATAAGATGTTTTCAGGAGAGGTAAGCCTTGCATCATTAAAAATATTTCCTGGAAGATGCTGGTTTTCAACACATGGCTTAGGCTGATCCTGCTTCTTCGTTTTCTTTGCTCACTCACACCTCTACATTGAAATAATCAGCCAGGGTTCCTGCGAGTTCTAGCACTTGCCTGGGCTTTCAGATATGTTTTCTACTCTCAGTCCCTTCACTGTGATGTGGATAAGACCTTTCCTTTAGCCTTTTCCCACTTCTGGCTTTCTTGAACTGAGGTCAAAAGATAAAATATTATATCACATTTAATCAGAAGGTAGAATTTGGGGCCAGCAGGTGGCATGGTGGTTAAGGGAATTGGACTCCCACATGGCCAACTGTGGTTCAAGTCCTGAATCTGACTACTTGCTTTCTCACTTTTTCTCTCTCTCTCTCTTTCTGTTCCTCTCTATAAAATAAAAATAATAATAATAAAAAAGATAAAATAAAGTAATTCTTTTTTTTTTTTTTGAGAGGTTTTTGCTATAGGGCGAGTGTGCTTGCCATACTGACAAGAGAAACAGAGAGACAGAAAGCAAGAAATCACCCCCTGGGAGGATGGCCACGCCACAATCCCCTCTTCTCCATTCTCCTCTTGGGATCTTGGGCATGCACACACATGAACCCAGCATGAGTGTAAGCCATCGGATCTGGGACTTGAACGGTGGTCGACTATGTGGGAGTCCGGCGACATAGCCATTACACTAACTGCTGGTCCCAATAAAATAAAGCAACTTTTAAACAAAAAAAGAAGAAGGTAGAATTCAACTGCTTGGGTGACTCCCAACTCCTATCGAATAATAAACCCTGTGCTCTGCATTACATGTATATTTAACATATTTAACAAAGAGGTTTTGATTTAACCCCCAGAGATCTCAAACTTCTTCATACTTTGTTACCTTTGCTCAAGATATTTCATCCCATGACATTGTCCTTTTCCAGAACACATACTCATCCTTTCAGGTGGAAGTCAAATGCTCTCCTTGGAATGCTGCATGGATCACACTGTCTGACCCCTCTGTGCAGTTAATATAACTTTAAAACACTTTTATTTTAGCACAGTATATTGCTATTTTTCATGAGTCTGCTTCATGCCTATACTCTGGGCCACCTGGAGACACAGAACATATTCTGTCCTTTGTACCTTGTCAAGTTCTGAATAAGGCAGGTGCTCAGCTCAGGGATCAGCCACCCTGCCAGTCTTGTATGAGCAAGTGGTTTTTTAAAAAAGCCTAAAGAGCAATAGGATTCAGAATGATGTGAAATTAGCCTTTCTGAAACACCACAATATGCATTTTATGAAAGAAAAAAATCTATTTTCTGAAAATGTTCTTGGTTACTTGTTACTACTACTTTTTAAACAAATATTTTGTTATTGTGACTATTTGGCATCCATACATATATCTGCTTTCAAAGCTTAAGATGGAATAAGGATATATCTACACCCACCATGCTCAGCTCAG